GAGAGGTGAGGGGGAGAAATGGGTTAGGTGGGGAGGGGAATAATGGGGTTGGGTGAGGGAGGGGAAAAATGGGGTTGGGTAGGGAGGGAATAAGTAAGTAAGTAAGTAAGTTTATTCAGGTATACACAAATACAGTTACATAGAATTATCATACATAGCAGCATATGTGTAGAGAACCTGGGATAACCCAAAAAAGTCAGACAGAGTGACTTATCTCCACTGAGGTCCTTTTACCTTATTATTATAATATAAAGGTTATAATATTTTCTTATTATTCTACAATGAAGATAACATCTTATTATCATACTAAAAAGACTATCTACTACACGAGGGTCATTAAGACTATCTACAATACGAGGGTCATTACTAGGAATAAGGTAAAATTTACAAGTATGTTAGCTAAAAAATAGAAAATCATCCCCTCCCTTTCTGTAGCTTCATTCATCAGACACCTTTTGGCAGTCTTCTTGAACTGGTTCATGCTATGACTGGCTTTGACATGTGCAGGCAGTCTGTTCCATTCCTTTATTGCTGTACAATAAAAGGTGTTTGAAGCCTGGCCACTGACTGTGGGTACTACAAAGTTGTGCTCTCTCCCCCTAGTACTATGATTGCTTTGGTTCCCAACCTTGACAAAATTGACAGCAAGATATTCTGGACACTGTTTGTGAGCAATTTTATAAACATGATTTAGCTTCAGTTTTACTCTGTCTTCAACATTCAGCATATCCAACTGCTGTAATTCATCCTGGCCTACATGTTCTCTTGGTCCCAGCCCCAGGATGAATCTTACGATTTTGTTCTGGGTGATTTGCAGTCTATCTTTCAGTTTTTTTGTCAAGGCAGAGTACCAAGAAGAGCAAGCGTAATCCATATGGCATTGTATAAGGGCTAGACATAGGGTCCTGCGAGCCTCAGTAGGTAGACACTGTGCTTGTCTATACAGGAACTTCAGTCTGGCATTCGCTTTCTTTACTACACTGTTCCCTATCAATTCTCCTGACATGCATGGGTCAAAGGGATGCTGGTTGGAAAGAATGGAGAAATGGGAGTGAATGAGGGAGGGGAATGAATGGGGACTGAGTGAGGGAGGGGTAGGAATAAGGGTGAGGGGGCAGGAATGAGGACTGAGGGAGGGGGAGGGAGGGAGGGAGGGAGGGAGGGAGGGGGGAGGGAGGGAGGGGGATGAAGGTTTAGCCAGCATGAGAGGCTTCACGGAAGACTGTGTCCACCACTTGCATGTAGTTACTCAGCACTGACCTGGCAAAACCTCAGTCGACCTCTGTAACTCACTCTCTCAGACACACACTTCACAGTACACAGACATGAGGCAGTTCCTGCATGAGGTGCAGTGGAAAAGGGAACTAGAAGGAAAGACAATGAATGAGATGAAGTACATATATGGCCGGAAAGCGCAGGAAGGCGGAAGACAAAAAACGTGATCCCATGGTAGGTGCAGAGAGGCCAAAGCTAAGTGTACCAGAGCATGGAAAAAAAATTAGAAGGCAAAGAACTCGGGAAAATAGTTGAGCCGAAGAGCCAGAAACGAGTATGCATGGGAACATAAGAACATAAGAACATAAGAAAGGAGGAACACTGCAGTAGGCCTGTTGGCCCATACTAGGCAGGTCCTTTACAATTCATCCCACTAACAAAACATTTGCCCAACCCAATTTTCAATGCCACCCAAGAAACAAGCTCCGATGTGCAAGTCCGACTCAAATCCAACCCATCCCACTCATGTACTTATCCATCCTAAAAGGAGCATACCTGGAGAGGGTTTTGGGGATCAACGCCCCCACGGCCCAGTCTGTGGCCAGGCCTTATGGTGGATCAGAGCCTGAACAACCAGACTGTTATTGTTGGCCCTCACAAACCGACGTACGAACCACAGTCCAGCTGGTCAGGTACTGACTTAGGTACCTATTCAGTGCCTTCTTGAAGACAGCCAGGAATCTATTGGTAATCCCCTTTATGTATGCTGGGAGGCAGTTGAACAGTTTTGGACCCCTGACATTTATTGTGTTGTCTCTTAGTGTACTCATAGCACCCCTGCCTTTCATTAGGGGGACGCTGAATCTCCTGCCCAGTCTTTGCTTTCATAGGGAGTGATTTTCTTGTGCGGATTTGGGATTAGTTCCTCTAGGATTTTCCAAGTGTGTATTATCATGTATGTTTCTCGCCTGCATTCCAGGGAGTACAAATCAAGGGACTTCAACCATTCCTGTAATTTTTGTGCTTTATCATACTTATACATGTTGTGAAAGTTCTCTGTACATTCTCTAGGTCTGCAATTGTGCCTGCTTTGGAAGGGGCCATTAGTGTGCAGCAATATTCCAGCCTAGAGAGAACAAACAGGGGGCTCCTTGGCATGGTGAAGAGGCTAGCAGTCGGAGGAATTAGCCCTTTTGGTCTTCTTCCTCAGACTGAACCTAATTCCTCCCCAATCCCCCCTTCCCTATCCCATCCTCCTCATCACCCTTTTCCCTTTCCTTCTCCTCTCCCATCCCTCCACTTTCCCTTTCCTGTTTCTACCCTTAGTCTTTGTAGTTCCTAGACCTGAGAAGGGGTTCCAGGGAACACTTCCTGAGATTGAGGTCCTTGGTGGTAGTGTAGTTTGCCGTGGAATCTGGATCATCTAGAGATCCCAGTCCCTTTCCAGTCTACTGGGGGGCGGGGGAGGCTTCGGGTGTCTTTCAGGTGACTGATGTTTCTCTGGAGGCTGCCTGTTGGATTCCAGGAGGTGGTGGCCGAAGAAGGTATGCTTTATGGTGGGTTTCCTACCGCCCTCCTTTTTGTTCACCGAGGTGGCTCGGTAGATGTGAGGTTGCTATCCAGGATTGCTGATATACTAGCTTGAAGAGTATGGTATGGCACGGATTCAATGCCACATCTGCACTACCAGCTGTGTTGAAGCTGTCCTCTTAGGAATGGATGGGAAAACTTGCTGTTCTTTCTCCCTGGGAGCTGCCGTCCATTGCAAATAACACTGAAATTATTTTTTAGATTATGCAAAAGTCAGGCCATGTAATACAAGCGCTTCACTCTATATAACAGCAGATTAACATATTAAGATCATTCAGACACCAGTAATTACTGCCTATGAAAACGATGTTTCAACAATTTTCTTTACATGTTGGTCATCAACACAATTTTGTTGGACGAGACACATATTGGTTACCATTGTGTAATAAAATACTCAGTACATACATATTCACTTATGTTCTCCCACATCATAACTTCAACAATCACTTTGAACCTTTTATCCACTGTTGACACGATTATAATTAAATCATTGTTTTCACAAAAACCATTTTCGAATATATGAATATATCTTTTGTCTTATACAAATTTTGATTCATTTATAATTAATAATCTACTGTACAACTATGATATAATTACTATCCTACTGTACAACTATGATATAATTACTATCCTACTGTACAACTATGATATAATTACTATCCTACTGTACAACTATGATATAATTACTATCGTACTGTACAACTATGATATAATCTTTAGTGTTAAGTAGTCTGTAAGCCAATAATGTTAAGTTGGCCCATAATGCCTAGGCATAATAGAGGCTCTTTGCAGTGCAACTCACTGTTGTAAATACAAAATGTCAATGTACTGTTTGCAAAGACATAAAATAAATAAATAAATAAAAAAATAAACTGTTCAAGCTTGTAATGGAGCCGTGTATAAAGAAGCGCCAGTCTTGGCTGTAGTAAGGAAGAAGTTCAACCTCTCTTGTCCGATAAGCTGTTATTTTTAACTTCTTGTTGTAGACAGTTCTTTTCTTGTAATTTGGATGCTTAAAAGTTCAGATGTTTCTTTGATAGACTGAGGTCACGTATCAGATCATTGAGTTGTTCTTGAGAGAACTGCTGGGGTGTTGAAATGCTATCACCTGTGTTGCCTCCTATACCCTGTGTTTATTCAACATCTGACAACAAAAGGTCAGGTAGTGTTGTGTGGCACAGGTCTCTTTACTGACACTAAATCAGGATATTCTCACTTGACTTTCTTGTATCAAATAAAACCTTTCACATTAATCATACAAAAATACCGATCATCCTGGTGGTTCTTCGGTTCTCTCCACACCATAGACACACCCAAATTTAAACATTTCCTTTGCCTATTTTTCCACTGTCATAAGGATTCTACCCAGGTTTTGCAAGCCATATGGGGAGCCCAAGACTTGTCTTGTTCTCCAGCGTCACTCAAAAATAAACAAATAAGTTAATTTTACAAAATCTGTGATTTTTTTTCTTTGTTTTTACAAAGAGTATTCGCCACAAATATAACAAAATGCAATGGAATTGTTCAAATAGACTCTTGGTGAAGAACTCATGTTTATCAGGAAAATTAATAAAATGAAGGTAATAGTAAAGTCATGTTAAATATTAAATCATTAAAAAATAAAATTTTGATCGTTATTAAAACTATTTGTATATACAAATTGTCACTACATATACAAATTGTCACTACATATACAAATTGTCACTACATATACAAATTGTCACTACATATACAAATTGTCACTACATATACAAATTGTCACTACATATACAAATTGTCACTACATATACAAATTGTCACTACATATACAAATTGTCACTACATATACAAATTGTCACTACATATACAAATACATGAGTTATGGTTAAGTTCCCTGTAACTGAAGGGTAGGTATGTAATATCTCACTAACTAGAACCAGTTTCAAAATCCTACTGACATTTTTGGATTTAGCAACGCCAAAATACCCTAAATACATTCAAATATAGTTGCTGTTGTTGACAAGTGTTATAATTATAATTTTTCAGATATTATCTTGGAAAGCTTATCAGTATTATTGTAATATCGTTGATGCAGTAAAATTATTAATAAAGTTGAAAGAGAAGTAATAAGATAGCAAGAAAATAAATGAGAAGTGATAGAGAAGTAATAATGTAATTGAATTATATAACTGGATAATAAGTATTATCTTACACAGGTACTGGAATGTTGCTGTCTCGCTGCTGTCCATAGCAATGATCACTATCAACAGGTGAGTCAACACTGTGTACACCTGTTCTCTCGTACCTGATCCCTACACCCTGTGTCACTGCTCCCTACACCCTGTGTCACTGCTCTCTACACCCTGTGTCACTGCTCCCTACACCCTGTGTCACTGATCTCTACACCCTGTGTCAGTGATCTCTACACCCTGTGTCACTGCTCCCTACACCCTGTGTCACTGATCTCTACACCCTGTGTCACTGCTCCCTACACCCTGTGTCACTGATCTCTACACCCTGTGTCACTGCTCCCTACACCCTGTGTCACTGATCTCTACACCCTGTGTCACTGCTCTCTACACCCTGTGTCACTGCTCTCTACACCCTGTGTCACTGATCTCTACACCCTGTGTCACTGCTCCCTACACCCTGTGTCACTGCTCTCTACACCCTGTGTCACTGCTCTCTACACCCTGTGTCACTGATCTCTACACCCTGTGTCACTGCTCCCTACACCCTGTGTCACTGATCTCTACACCCTGTGTCACTGCTCTCTACACCCTGTGTCACTGCTCTCTACACCCTGTGTCACTGCTCCCTACACCCTGTGTCACTGATCTCTACACCCTGTGTCACTGATCTCTACACCCTGTGTCACTGCTTCCTACACCCTGTGTCACTGATCTCTACACCCTGTGTCACTGCTCTCTACACCCTGTGTCACTGCTCTCTACACCCTGTGTCACTGCTCTCTACACCCTGTGTCACTGCTCTCTACACCCTGTGTCACTGCTCTCTACACCCTGTGTCACTGCTCTCTACACCCTGTGTCACTGCTCTCTACACCCTGTGTCACTGCTCTCTACACCCTGTGTCACTGATCTCTACACCCTGTGTCACTGATCTCTACACCCTGTGTCACTGATCTCTACACCCTGTGTCACTGCTCCCTACACCCTGTGTCACTGCTCTCTACACCCTGTGTCACTGCTCTCTACACCCTGTGTCACTGCTATCTACACCCTGTGTCACTGCTATCTACACCCTGTGTCACTGCTCTCTACACCCTGTGTCACTGCTATCTACACCCTGTGTCACTGATCTCTACACCCTGTGTCACTGATCTCTACACCCTGTGTCACTGATCTCTACACCCTGTGTCACTGCTCTCTACACCCTGTGTCACTGCTCTCTACACCCTGTGTCGCTGCTATCTACACCCTGTGTCGCTGCTCTCACACCTGTGTCACTGCTCTCTACACCCTGTGTCGCTGCTATCTACACCCTGTGTCACTGCTATCTACACCCTGTGTCACTGCTCTCTACACCCTGTGTCACTGCTCTCTACACCCTGTGTCACTGCTCTCTACACCCTGTGTCGCTGCTATCTACACCCTGTGTCGCTGCTCTCACACCTGTGTCACTGCTCTCTACACCCTGTGTCGCTGCTATCTACACCCTGTGTCACTGCTATCTACACCCTGTGTCACTGCTCTCTACACCCTGTGTCACTGCTCTCTACACCCTGTGTCACTGCTCTCTACACCCTGTGTCACTGCTCTCTACACCCTGTGTCACTGCTCCCTACACCCTGTGTCACTGATCTCTACACCCTGTGTCACTGCTCCCTACACCCTGTGTCACTGCTCTCTACACCCTGTGTCACTGCTCTCTACACCCTGTGTCACTGCTATCTACACCCTGTGTCACTGCTCTCTACACCCTGTGTCACTGCTCTCTACACCCTGTGTCACTGCTCTCTACACCCTGTGTCACTGCTCTCTACACCCTGTGTCACTGCTCTCTACACCCTGTGTCACTGCTCTCTACACCCTGTGTCACTGCTCTCTACACCCTGTGTCACTGCTCTCTACACCCTGTGTCACTGCTCTCTACACCCTGTGTCACTGCTATCTACACCCTGTGTCACTGCTATCTACACCCTGTGTCACTGCTATCTACACCCTGTGTCACTGCTATCTACACCCTGTGTCACTGCTATCTACACCCTGTGTCACTGCTATCTACACCCTGTGTCACTGCTATCTACACCCTGTGTCACTGCTATCTACACCCTGTGTCACTGCTATCTACACCCTGTGTCACTGCTATCTACACCCTGTGTCACTGCTATCTACACCCTGTGTCACTGCTATCTACACCCTGTGTCACTGCTATCTACACCCTGTGTCACTGCTCTCTACACCCTGTGTCACTGCTATCTACACCCTGTGTCGCTGCTCTCACACCTGCTAACGTTACATCCTGTGTTCTCTCACTTTCACTCCTGTTCTCTGCACCTCTGTGTCATTCCTCTCAAATTTGTTCTCTGCACACTGTGTTCGTACACAATAGTAATACTAGTAGTAATAACTAATAATAATAATAATAATAATGACAACAATAATAATGACAATGGGTGGACAGGTACATCATGATCGCTCACTTCAGCGTATACAAGCTGGTGTACAGGAAAGGTTGGATCGCCCTCATGATCGCTTTCTGTTGGGTGTTCGCCTTTGTCATGCTCCTGCCTACGCTGCTCAGCAAGTGGGGTACGTATCCTAGCTCATTCTCCTAGGAGAGTATTGCTTATCTACGTTAATTTATGATTGCTTGGAAAAAAATCAACGTTGTCACTATGCTACAACGTCAGTTTTCGTAGGATGTAGGTAAAGTCATGTTGTGATTGTGGCTCTCTGAGAATGACCTTGATCAATCAAGTAAATTACTGGAAACTGTTGATGAAATTAGCGTAAATGAATGGGAGCAGTTCCAAGCGGAATCCTTTTAATATATTGGTGTTTCCGACAAGGCTTCGTGGTGCTGTGGTTGGATAAGGTCCGAGACTACAAGTGGGAGTCACTGATCCGACACACCCTCGTGTGTATAATCTTTACACTGAGGAATTAAATACAGTTTTGAGTAGGGAGGTGTGCAGCTAATAATAATAATAATCTTTATTTCTACATGTACATGTACAAGGTATACAGTCCTAGCTGACATCAGTGACTTACTACTGTATAGAAAGCCGCTTGTTATGCAGAGCATTTCGGGAAAATTAGGTCAGTTTTGTCCTGGGATGTGACCCACACCAGTCGACTAACACTCAGGTACCCATTTTACTAATGGGTGAACATGGACAGCAGGTGTCTTAAGGAAACATATATAAACTTATACCCTCAGCTATGCCGAGGACATGGTGCAGCTTGTTACGTCAGCAACTGTTTACACAGCTCATTCACAAATAACAAGGTTTTGCTTAATTTCACGACATATACTCCACGGTCAGCAAGAAGTATATAATTGTCAAGCAGGAGCCGCTCGAAGTAGTGTTACACCTTGAGCCAATTTTTTCTTCAGCATCCCGCCCCCTTCCTTGTGTAGCCTACTGTGTAGGCGAAACGTTTCGAAATAAAGATACCTAACTGTTGCATATGTGTCTTACCTAACAACCTGTCGGTATTTTATACCATTTTAATGTTCATTCTGTCAGACACTGCAACACAAGGGTATCTTGGTACAGACCTACAATCAACTTCGACAACCTCTACTAGTGAGAACGGCTGGATTTGAGAGGGACCTGACCTCCCAACATCTGAGTTCTTACCTCTTCTAGTGACCTACATCTCACTTCTTGGCGCTATATAAGGCTCCATCCTGCCACTTCATCTCCATATTGTTTCATACTATGGAACAATGCTCTTCTCCAGACTGAGGGACTGACCACCTCAAAACTTTAAGGGTGATGGACTGATTACATCGTCTTCAAGTATCTTCTGCTTCTATCAACTTTTCTGTACTCGACTGAAGAAGCCTACTGTGTAGGCGAAACCTTTCGAAATAAAGATTCCTAACTGTTGCATATGTGTCTTACCTAACAACCTGTCGGTATTTTATACCATTTTAATACTAAATTATTGTAAACGTATTTAACATATATTTAGTTGGGTTAGGCTAAAATAAATTGCTGTTATAATAAGGTTAGGAAAGTTTTCTAAGCATCTTTTGGTGCAAAATTAAATTTTTTTACATTAACATTAATGAAAAATATATATCTTTAAACGTATAAGAGAAAATTTTAGAAAGGACTTAATTTTAAATGAGTTCTTGCTAAGTGATCAGTTTTACATATTCGGCACGACATATATATATATATATATATATATATATATATATATATATATAATGTGTGTGTGTGTGTGTGTGTGTGTGTGTGTGTGTGTGTGTTTAGGACTTGACGTACTCTTGGAGTGTGAGCAAGGTAACATGAAGGGATTCAAGGAAACTGGCAGGCCGGACTTGAGTCCTGGAGATGGGAAGTACAGTGTCTGCACTCTGAAGGGAGAGTGTTAATGTTGCAGTTTTATAACTGTAGTGTAAAGCAACCTTCTGGCAAGACAGTGATGGAATGAATAATGATGAAAGTTTTTCTTTTTTGGACCACCCAGCCTTGGTGGGAGACGGCCGATGTGTTAATAAAAACAATATATATATATGTGTGTACTCACCTATTTGTGGTTGCAGGGGTCGATACATAGCTCCTGGCCCCGCTTCTTCACTGATCGCTACTAGATCCTCCCTCGCCCTGCTCCATGAGCTTTATCATACCTTGTCTTAAAACTATGTATGGTTCCTGCCTCCACTACATCGTTTGCCAGACTATTCCACTTCCTGACAACTCTATGATTAAAGAAATACTTCCTAACATCTCTTTGACTCATCTGAGTCTTCAACTTCCAATTGTGGTCCCTTGTTTCTGTGTCCCATCTCTGGAACATTCTGTCTCTGTCCACCTTGTCAATTCCATGCAGTATTTTGTAAGTCGTTATCATGTCTCCCCTAACCCTCCTTTCCTCCAGTGTCGTCAGGCCGATTTCCCTTAACCTCTCTTCGCAGGACATTCACCTAAGCTCTGGAACTAGCCTTGTTGCAAACCTTTGCACTTTCTTTAATTTCTTGACGTGCTTGACCAGGTGTGGGTTCCAAACTGGTGCTGCATACTCCAGTATGGGCCTGACATACACGGTATACAGAGTCTTGAACGATTCCTTCCTGAGGTATCGGAATGCTATTCTTAGGTTTGCCAGGCGTCCATATGCTGCAGCAGGTATCTGGTTGATGTGCGCCTCAGGAGATGTGCTCGGTATTATACTCACCCTAAGATCCTTTTCCTTGAGTGAGGTTTGCAGTCTTTGGCCACCTAGCCTATACGCCGTCTGCGGTCTTCTTTACCCTTCCCCGATCTTCATGACTTCTCATTTGGCGGGGTTAAATTCGAGGAGCCAGTTGCTGGACCAAGCTTTCACCCTGTCCAGGTCTCTTTGTAGTCCTGCTTGGTCCTCATCTAATTTAATTCTCCTCATTAACTTCACATCATCTGCAAACATGGACACTTCTGAGTCTATCCCTTCTGTCATGTCATTCATATATATTAAAAATAGCACTGGTCCTAGGACTGACCCCTGTGGAACCCCGCTCGTCACAGGCGCCCACTGTGATACCTCATCACGTACCATGACTCGTTGTTGCCTCCCTGTCAGGTATTCTCTGATCCATTTCACTAATCTCTTGTGAGGAACTGTGTCGAAGGCCTTCTTGCAGTCCAAGAAAATGCAATCTATTCACCCCTTTCTCTCGTGTCTCACTTCCGTTACCTTATCCTAAAACTCCAGGAAGTTTGTGACACAGGATTTGCCTTCCCTGAATTCGTGCTGGTTGTCGTTAATAAATTTGTTCCGTTCTAGGTGCTCCACCACTCTCCTCCTGATAATCTTCTCCATGACTTTGCATACTATGTGTGTGTGTGGTGCCGAATAGGTAAAACTTGCGATTTTTAGCTTAAATAACAACTCTCTTCTTGCCGAATAAGGCAAGCTAAAATTTGTGTATGCAATAATTTCGCAAAAAAATCATTCTGAACCTAACCAAAAAAATATATTTCATTGTGTTTGTTTATTATTAAATTATTGTAAACTTATCTAAAATATATTTAGTTGGATTAGGCTAAATTAAATTGTGCCTATTAGGGCCTATTTTTCCTGCAGTTTCTGAAGGCTGAACCAGAGTTTCTCAGAATCATGTGGGATGAATATCTGTGACCGTCTTTCATGTTATTGCAGAAGCCTCCCCCTTTAAATGACTTTATATTAATGAGTCCCTTTTCCTTTACGTATGTTATCATTTTCTTGCCACTTTAAATGGACATGTTGTCCCTTGGAAGGCTACCCTATAATTACTAGAGACTTCTATATCACTGACAATATTTTGATGTGTGTAAAGTTAATGATGTCATAGCAGAATATGATCGATTATTTTTATTATTGCCACGTTAAAAACTGTAGTGTAAATCACCCTTCTGGCAAGACAGTGATGGAGTGAATGATGGTGAAAGTTTTCCTTTTTCGGGCCACCCTGCCTTGGTGGGAATCGGCCGGTGTGATAATAATAATAATAATAATAATAATAATAATAATATATATATATATATATATATATATATATATATATATATATATATATATAATATATTTATATATATATATATATATATTCTTCTTTCAATGCACTAGCCGTATCCCACCGAGGCAGGGTGGCCCAAAAGGAAAAACGAAAGTTTCTCCTTTTACATTTAGTAATATATACAGAAGAAGGGGTTACTAGCCCCTTGCTCCCGGCATTTTAGTCGCCTCTTACAACACGCATGGCTTACGGAGGAAGAATTCTGGTCCACTTCCCCATGGAGATAAGAGGAAATAAACAAGAACAAGAACTAGTATAAAAAATAGAAGAAAACCCAGAGGGGTGTGTATATACATGCTTGTACATGTATGTGTAGTGTGACCTAGGTGTAAGTAGAAGTAGCAAGATGTACCTGAAACCTTGCATGTTTATGAGACAAAAATGGACACCAGCAATACTACCATCACGTAAAACAATTACAGGCTTCCGTTTTACACTCACTTGGCAGGACGGTAGTACCTCCCTGGGTGGTTGCTGTCTACCAACCTACTACCATAATATATATATATATATATATATATATATATATATATATATATATATATATATATATATATATATATATATATATATATATATATATATATATATATGTACTCACCTGTGTGTGTGTGTGTGTGTGTGTGTGGCGCGCGCGCGCGAGCAAACTGAAACTATTGTTGGCTAGTGTTGTCAGTATTAGTAAAGGCTGTGTACCATGTGTACTCGGGGCACTCCCGGTGTCTACTGAGTTCTGACGGTGTATTCTGAGTTCTGATAGTGTATGACTTATCACGGTGTATAATGAGAGTTCTGTCATACCTCACACAATACACACATTCAGTCACTACTTCTAGTGACTGAATGTGTATATTTCACACCAATATACTATCACCACACACCACCACATTACAACACTAATGTTAACTAACTAACTAACCTCTGGTGTTCTATAGGACGCTTCGGCTTCGACCGACGGCTTCAAACTTGTTCCATCTTGGACGACAACAACAAGTCGCCCAAGCAAGTTCTCTTCGGCTTAGGCTTCTGTGTGCCAGCCATCGTTATAGTCATCTGCTACTCACTCATCTTCTTCGTCATCCACAGGTAAGTAACACCATGCTCTAGCTAGCCCATCCACAGGTAAGTAACACCATGCTCTAGCTAGCCCATCCACAGGTAAGTAACACCATGCTCTAGCTAGCCCATCCACAGGTAAGTAACACCATGCTCTAGCTAGCCCATCCACAGGTAAGTAACACCGTGCTCTAGCTAGCCCATCCACAGGTAAGTAACACCATGCTCTAGCTAGCCCATCCACAGGTAAGTAACACCATGCTCTAGCTAGCCATCCACAGGTAAGTAACACCATGCTCTAGCTAGCCCATCCACAGGTAAGTAACACCATGCTCTAGCTAGCCCATCCACAGGTAAGTAACACCGTGCTCTAGCTAGCCATCCACAGGTAAGTAACACCATGCTCTAGCTAGCCCATCCACAGGTAAGTAACACCATGCTCTAGCTAGCCCATCCACAGGTAAGTAACACCGTGCTCTAGCTAGCCATCCACAGGTAAGTAACACCATGCTCTAGCTAGCCCATCCACAGGTAAGTAACACCATGCTCTAGCTAGCCCATCCACAGGTAAGTAACACCATGCTCTAGCTAGCCATCCACAGGTAAGTAACACCATGCTCTAGCTAGCCCATCCACAGGTAAGTAACACCATGCTCTAGCTAGCCCATCCACAGGTAAGTAACACCATGCTCTAGCTAGCCATCCACAGGTAAGTAACACCATGCTCTAGCTAGCCCATCCACAGGTAACGCATACTATCAGTAGACCAAGAACAGGCAACACACTACTAACAGTGGACCATGGACAGGTAACACATTATCAGTGAACCATGGACAGGTATCACACTACCATCAGTGAACCATGGACAGGTAACACACTACCATCAGTGAACCATGGACAGGTATCACACTACCATCAGTGAACCATGGACAGGTAACACACTACCATCAGTGAACCATGGACAAGTAACACACTACCATCAGTGAACCATGGACAGGTAACACACTACCATCAGTGGACCATGGACAGGTAACACACTACCATCAGTAAACCATGGACAGGTAATACACTACCATCAGTGGACCATGGACAAGTAACACACTACCATTAGTGAACCATGGACAGGTAACACACTACCATCAGTGGACCATGGACAGGTAACACACTACCATCAGTGAACCATGGACAAGTAACACACTACCATCAGTGAACCATGGACAGGTAACACACTACCATCAGTGGACCATGGACAGGTAATACACTACCATCAGTGGACCATGGACAAGTAATACACTACCATCAGTGGACCATTGACAAGTAACACACTACCATCAGTGGACCATGGACAAGTAACACACTACCATCAGTGGACCATGGACAGGTAATACACTACCATCAGTGAACCATGGACAGGTAACACACTACCATCAGTGAACCATGGACAGGTAACACGCTACCATCAGTGAACCATGGACAGGTAATACACTACCATCAGTGAACCATGGACAGGTAACACACTACCATCAGTGTACCATGGACAAGTAACACACTACCATCAGTGAACCATGGACAGGTAACACGCTACCATCAGTGAACCATGGACAGGTAATACACTACCATCAGTGAACCATGGACAGGTAACACACTACCATCAGTGAACCATGGACAGGTAATACACTACCATCAGTGAACCATGGACAAGTAACACACTACCATCAGTGAACCATGGACAAGTAACACACTACCATCAGTGAACCATGGACAGGTAACACACTACCATCAGTGAACCATGGACAAGTAACACACTACCATCAGTGAACCATGGACAGGTAACACACTACCATCAGTGAACCATGGACAGGTAACACACTACCATCAGTGAACCATGGACAGGTAACACACTACCATCAGTGAACCATGGACAGGTACGCAAATTGACTCAGACACTGCCTAAAATCAATATAAAAAATTCTGCTTATTAAAAGACACCGGCGTCTCAGGTTTAAAGCCGACCAAAAGATACGTTCTCTACTTGTTACCTGAAACCCATTTGTTTTAATAAAATTGGCAAATTAAAATTTATGCAACTTCTCGGCACTCATGACTTTGTAACTGACTGCTAAAAAACAAGGTTCTTGACTCTCAAGACACTCAGAGGACGCAAGCTCAAGTTATTTTACGAAAAAATCACCCCATTTTATGATTAAAATTGGGTGATTGGTACCTATACACACAATAACATTCCAGTGTAGATGGTATACAACATCAGAGCTGAACGAGTCAAGTCTACCGGAAGGAGTTTCATAAAGTATTACATCGATACCGAAATAAGGAATGTCAATAAAGTGCCAAAAAAGGGCACCTGTTCATTCCAATAATTTCACGAATTTTCCTCTAGTTATACTTGACCAGTGTCAAAAATGTGGGCATGGGCAAGTCTCTTGTCGTGGGCAAGTCTCTCAACATGGGCAAGTCTCCTACCATGGAGAAGTCTCCTAACATGGGCAAGTTTCCTAACATGGGCAAGTCTCCTAACATGGGCAAGTTTCCTAACATGGGCAAGTCTCTTAACATGGGAAAGTCTCCTAACATGGGCAAGTCTCCTAACATGGGCAAGTTTCCTAACATGGGCAAGTCTCTTAACATGGGCAAGTCTCCTACCATGGGCAAGTCTCCTACCATGGGCAAGTCTTCTAACATTGGCAAGTTTCCTAACATGGGCAAGTCTCTTGACATGGGCAAGTTTCCTACCATGGGCAAGTCTCCTAACATGGGCAAGTCTCCTAACATGGGCAAGTCTTCTACCATGGGAAAGTCTCCTAGCATGGGCAAGTTTCCTAACATGAGCAAGTCTCCTAACATGGGCAAGTTTCCTAAAATGGGCAAGTCTCCTACCATGGGCAAGTCTCTTAACATACGAAAGTCTCCTAACATGGGCAAGTCTCCTACCATGGGCAAGTCTCTTAACATGGGCAAGTCTCCTAACATGGGCAAGTCTCTTAACATGGGAAAGTCTCCTAACATCCACAAGTCTCCTACCATGGGCAAGTCTCCTACCATGGGCAAGTCTCTTAACATGGGAAAGTCTCATAACATGGGCAAGTCTCTTATCGTGGGCAAGTCTCTTAACATGGGCAAGTTTCCTAACATGGGCAAATCTCCTAACATGGGCAAGTCTCTTAACATGGGCAAGTCGCCTAACATGGGCAAGTCTCCTAACATGGGCAAGTCTCCTAACATGGGCAAGTCTCCTAACATGGGCAAGTCTCCTAACATTGGCAAGTCTCTTAACATGGGCAAGTCTCCTAACATGGGCAAGTCTTCTAACATGGGCAAGTCTCCTAACATGGGCAAGTCTCCTACCATGGGCAAGTCTCTTATCGTGGGCAAGTCTGTTAACATGGGCAAGTCTCCTAACATGGGCAAGTCTCTTAACAAGGGCAAGTCTCTTAACATGGGCAAGTCTCTTAACATGGGCAAGTCTCCTAACATGGGCAAGTCTCTTAACATGGGCAAGTCTCCTACCATGGGCAAGTCTCTTATCGTGAGCAAGTCTGTTAACATGGGCAAGTCTCCTAACATGGGGAAGTCTCTTAACAAGGGCAAGTCTCTTAACATGGGCAAGTCTCTTAACATGGGCAAGTCTCTTAACATGGGCAAGTCTCCTAACATGGGCAACATCTCCTAACATGGGCAAGTCTCCTAACGTGGGCAAGTCTCTTAACATGGGAAAGTCTCCTAACATGGGCAAGTCTCCTAACATGGGCAAGTCTCTTAACATGGGAAAGGCTCCTAAGATGGGCAAGTCTCTTAACATGGGCAAGTCTCCTAACATGGGTTAGTGTCTTAACATGAGCAAGTCTCTTAACATGGGCAAGTCTCCTAACATGGGCAAGTCTCTTATCGTGGGCAATTCTCCTAACATGGACAAGTCTCTTATCGTGGGCAATTCTCTTAACATGGGCAAGTCTCTTAACATGGGCAAGTCTCTTATCATGGACAAGTCTCATAACATGGGCAAGTCTCTTAACACGGGAAAGTCTCCTAACATGGGCAAATCTCTTATCATGGGCAAGTCTCATAACATGGGCAAGTCTAATAACATGGGCAAGTCTCTTAACATGGGCAAATCTCTTAACATGGGCAAGTCTCTTAACATGGGCAAGTCTCCTAACATGGGCAAGTCTCTTAACATGGGCAAGTCTCCTAACATGGGCAAGTCTCTTAACATGGGCAAGCCTCTTAACATGGGCAAGTCTAATAACGTGGGCAAGTCTCTTAACATGGGCAAGTCTCTTAACATGGGTAAGTCTCTTAACATGGGCAAGTCTCCTAACATGGGCAAGTCTCCTAACATGGGCACGTCTCCTAACATGGGCAAGTCTCTTAACATGGGCAAGTCTCCTTACATGGGCAAGTCTCCTAACATGGGCAAGTCTCCTAACATGGGCAAGTCTCCTAACATGGGTAAGTCTCTTATCGTGGGCAAGTCTGTTAACATGGGCAAGTTTCCTAACATGAGCAAGTCTCCTACCATGGGCAAGTCTCCTAACATGGGCAAGTCTCCTAACATGGGCAAATCTCCTAACATGGGCAAGTCTCTTAACATGGGCAAGTCTCCTAACATGGGCAAGGCTCCTAACATGGGCAAGTCTCCTAACATGGGCAAGTCTCCTAACATGGGCAAGTCTAATAACATGGGCAAGTCTCTTATCATGGGCAAGTCTCATAGCACTGGCAAGTCTAATAACATGGGCAAGTCTCTTATCATGGGCAAGTCTCATAACTTTGGCAAGTCTAATAACATGGGCAAGTCTCCTAACATTGGCAAGTCTCCTAGCGTTGGCAAGTCTCCTAACATGGGCAAGTCTCTTATCATGGGCAAGTCTCCTAACATGGGTAAGTCTCTTAACATGGGCAAGTCTAATAACATGGGCAAGTCTACTAACACCTCCTGCCCCATTTACCTACAAACAGTAAATTGAAACGTGGGAGTTAGTCGACAGATGTGGGTGGCATCCTGGGGGGGA